GCACTGGGGAGCGGCTGCAAATACAGATTAACATTAGCAGAGGTCTGACTAAACAAAGACCATAATAAATCAACTGCTAGCAGACTCATATCAAAACTCTATGAGTGAGAGGCAAAAGACAATTAAGCTGCATCTGGTGGCAGGCTTTAGCAGCAACTGAGTTCATGTACTTCAATTGTACAGCTGCATTTGGTGGCATCTGATTCTGCATTATGGTGAGCTGTACAATTATTTCATTATATATTACAATGTAATGATAACAGAAATAAAATGCACAATAAATGTAATGCGTTTAAATCATCCCAACTCCATCCCTCAACACACACACATACACCGTCCATGGAAAAATTGTCTTCAACAAAACCAATCCCTGGTGCCAAAAAGGATGGGGACTGCTGCTGTATACTATGGGATACTAAATGTAAGTAAGAAGCAATGAACAAGTGTACACACAGCAACATGGAGAGATTTTTAACTTTGCAGTATTAAAGAAAACAGTGAAAAAAAGGGCAGATTATTTGTAGCGAAAACCTAATTAAATCAATCACATGCACACACGCACGCACACACGCACGCACGCACGCACACACACTATGTTCTATAAGGATACATTCATTCAAAGACATATAGCAAACAAATTAGATTGGTTTCCTATGGCAGGAAGAGATGAAAATGGGAGCTGATATCAAGAATAAAGGAGATAAATCAATGAGGGGCCTTATAATGAACGAAGATAGTAATTTTACTGCTATGAACTCTAAAAGCCTGATTAACTCAAGTTTCTGAACCACAGTTCAAAACAGAGAGAGAAAACAAAGGGAGCATACTGCTACTACCTTAAATGGAAAAGTCAGTATTACTTGTCATAAATAGGTTATAAAAATAAATATATAACTATAAAAAAAAAATTAAATTTGTCAGTATACTACCTTTTTCTGAATACCCCAGTAGTACACTCTCCATACTTTAGGAAACATTGTTGTGACTATTCTGAGATAAGAATGATACAGGGGATCTTTACATACACACACACACACACACACAAAAATATAAATATTAATTTATATTAATTTGAGAGCTTAACTGGATTTATGTTAGAGATGAAATAACTTGATAAAAGCCTTTTTCTTAACATGAAAGCTTTCCTTCCTCAATAATGTAATGTTTTCCAGTTTTACATAATGTATAATTAGGACACAGTTACTACTTTATTTTCAATATACAGTGGTGGACTGTTTCTACTATTTCTAAATATTGCACAGCCCTAAATTAGTCATGAATTAAGAGTTGAAAAGAACTTTAATAAAAGTATCAAAACTAGCTAGTTTTATATAATGAGGTAACTTATTATAACCTCACTATAAGGTATTTCTCCAAGGACATTACTATATTAACGTTTATTTGTTAATGTGGAACGATCAAATTCTGCTTAATGGATTTCTTCGCAGGTCCCTATTCATTCAGTCATAATTCTATTAAAATAAGATACCAATCTTCATTAAGAGGTTGAAAAAGTATTTCTACAACTTTACCTGTAGAAATACTTTTAAACGTTCTTAAATTTTACTAAGTCTTACACGGCATTTAAAACTATAGCAAAAGAGCTAAATATGAACAGAAGAGTATTTACTTCTTTAAAAAGTACTCTTCTAAAAGAGGCAATACTTTGATTTTTTCATAGTATCTCCATTTCAATATGCTAAGGCTTGAAAAATAATGTACAAAACTATTTGTTGTATATAAACTAATGAAGAGACAACAACACAGTATAACAACAATTTTAATATTTCTTTAAATTTAGAAAACTCAGATCCAACTGGATTTGAAGAATTATTTGTTTGCTATTAATGATGTCAACATTATCCCTACTATTCAGATTAAAAATGTAGATATATTCATCTCTATCCAAATTCTAGTCATAAATTCTATTCAGATTAAAAATGTAGATATAATCATCTCTATCCAAATTCTAGTCATAAATTCCTTCTATCCAAATTCTATTGAGATTAAAAATGTAGATAGAATCATCTCTATCCAAATTCTAGTCATAAATTCCTTCTTCCTTCATAATACCTATTCCATTTAGTCTTTCTTTTCTATTTCCACTATTACCACTCTGATTAAATTCTGATTACCTCATGCCTAACTAATGTTATGATTTTCTAAGCTTCCTGATTCCTCACTCCATTTCTCTAATGATATATTTTTATACATGGCTACTAGTGTAACTTCCCTAAAATATAATTTTCTTTTTGCCACACATCCTACCCTCACCAAGACCTCTACAATACTCCTATGGAAATACACATTTTCTATTAATCAGCTTTTCTAGAACTATTTTTTAATTCTTTTTACCTATCCAAATTCTACTTACTTTTCAAGACCAGCTCAAATAACCCCTTTATTTGTACTTATCAGAGGTAACCCTGACTAGAAGTAATAATTTACTTCTTTGGCATTCATCACTTTCACCTAGCAATGGTTGGCTATCATTACTCATATTACATATATACCTTACCGATGAGACTATAAACAGAGCATTCTTCCTTTGTGACTTGCTGTTACATAGTTTAACAGAGACTAATAAAAGTAATATCCTGTAGAACAAAAAAATAAGTGCTCTGCGACCTTCAACTAGGATAGAACTCTTAAGAGTCAAAGAAACAGAGATCAGAAAGGACCTTAGGGATTAACTGGCCCTGGATAGATTTTTAAAAATTGACAGGCCTTCCACAAAAGAGAAAAAGAGAAAAAAGCATGCCAGGAGGAAAGAATAACATGAATAGAGAGGAGAGAAAATATAGGGTAATTTCAAGTCTTTAAATAACCAATGCTTAAAGGTTTTCATAGGTATGTTGATCCCTATCTTAATCAAGAGCCTCGTTATTTTTTGCTTGAAACAATTAAGAATATCCTAATTGTCTCTCTGCTGCTGGTGTCTCCTCTTTTCCAAACTATCATTCATATCACCACTAGATTAATTTTAACAAAATACAATTATGATAAAAAAATGCCTGTTAAAATTTTTCAAAGATGGCCAATTACTCAAAAAAAAAAAAAAAAAAATCTGAACTTCTAACCAGGACATTCAAAGTTCTTCATATCAAGATCTCTTTCAGCTTTGTCCCTCGATCCCTCTCCTACATAATGAATTCAACCCATACAAAATGATTTCTTCTGTCTTTTGTACATTCTACAACATTTCGAGCTTCCTCTACTTATGCCGGGCTCTGTGCATGAAATTCTCTTGCCTCCCAAATTCCACTCAGCAATCTTCTACTCATCTTCTAAGACTACTCAAATGTCATTTTCTATAAGAAGCCTCTCTGATAATTCTCTCCTCTAACAATGTTGGTGGAGCCTTTCTAGGTGATGCCGATACATTTTTTTCAATTTTATATAGCATTTTCCAGATTGCACTTGAATTAACTGTTTGCATACTCATCTCTACATAGTCTTTGGGACCAAAGCAAGAAATGTTTTGTGTTCTCAGTGCCTAACACAGTGCCTGGGATATAGCAAGTATGTTTAGTAAGTGATTAAAGGGAGGAAGAAATGGATGGATGCAGGCAAAGGTGTCACTCAGTGTTACCCCATTGATAGGCTTTACTAGAGGAGTTTGTCCTTACTCTGGCAGGCTAACAAAGAGTCACTGACAGTACATGCAGAGGGAAACAGAGTGAGGAGAGGGACAAAGTTAGGAGAGTCCTGAAACATTTCAGGTGAAATGTAATATAAGGACCTGAACGTGGATGGCAATGGGGGGATTAGAAAAGAGATGATAAAAACATTCATGATACATTATAGAGGTAAAATAGATAGGACTTGATCTCTTAACTAAGAAAGAGTAGGAAGGAAAAGATTCTACACTGAGACATTGAGTGCTGTTAACAAAGAGGTCCAGTAACAAAAGTAGGAACACTGGATATGAACCAAGCAGTTGAAAATATGGGTCTGAAGCTCAGAGAAAGTGTCACAAATGAGATATAAAATTGAAAAAATCATTTTAGAGGTAACTGTTGAAATTATGAAATTAGGAAAGCCAAAGGAAAAAAGCAGAAGAATTTCAAAGATAAAACCTTGGGGAACGTCATTATTTAAGAGTAGGAAGAGAAAGAAAAGAAATTATGAATGAATAATTAAAGAAGTAGAATTAGGAGAGCACAGGGTCACAGACACTAAAAGAATTTCAAGAAAAGAAAAATGGCAACTACTACAGTGATCAAAGAGTATGAAACCTAATAAAGACAATTAGAAAGTCATGAGTATTTTTCAAAAGAGCAAATACAGCAGTTTGGCAGGGGAAGAAAAAAGATGCTATAAGGAAGTAGAAACAGTGAGCAAAGGCTACTATTTCATGAGGAAAAAGTATAAACTACTTCATAAAACGGTATGTCCTATTTTTTAAAAATATAGATCCCTCAAGAATTCAAACCTTTTACCTGTAATTTGAGTCTCTAAATGGACCCGAAAATAATAAAAGTGATTTCTCTGTACATATTGTTTTAAAATGGCTTTTTCTCTCCTATCCCAAGTCTTATTGCTTTATTTAAAGAAGTGCCTACTTCTTTAAATAAATTCTTTCTCCAAAGATCTGTTACCAAATAAGGTAACAGTTTTATTCTAAATTCTAAAATGCGAGAATGGTTCAAAATAATGTAAACATTCAGTTTAATATAATCTTAAATTCTAAACTCTGCTTAGTCATCTTTAGAGGGAAGAAATAAATATATACATTATTTAATGCTCATTTTCTACAATTAGAGTATAGAAAGTGTTATTAGTAATAAATGAATACTTTTTACCCCTGAAGAGATTCGACATTATTAGGAGAGAAGAATATATTAGAACTACCTAAGATTCATAAGGAAAGTGATTAAAGAAACTAAAACTAAAGTTGTAACCATGATTTAGAAGAATTATTTTCAGTTGTTAAGAAGTGAAAATTTTCATATTATTCTAATTATGATTCTAATTATTTTCTTAGGTCTTTTCCTTACCTCAGAGATGTGGCTAGATAAAACTGGACTTCCAATTTTCTCCAAACAGCTTTGACCTATGCTTCCATCTCATGAATTCCAAGACAGTATTAAACTGATGCATATTTTCATAAATCTGTTAAGAAAAAAAAAATATTTCAGAATGAAAGAACACTTATTTGTCAGAATAATGCATGTAGAAGTAATACGAAAAATTTATCATGTGTAAAACTATACATTTTCAATGTAAAGTCAGTGAAAAGTTCTACAATATTTTAGAAACCTATCAGTTTACCATTTTCCCAACCTCTGCCCAAAGAAGTTCCCCACTTTGAGTATTTTCAACTTTACAAAGGTAATACTTGTGTGGAAAAAATTACTAACATGTAAAATTTCTGCATTAGCTCAGGCTATTGAAAAAGAATCACATCTCAAATTGAAAAGAACAGGAACAACTAGAAGCAGCACTAAAATCTACAATTCTACTACATTCAGATTCCTACTTAGGCAAAAATGTATTTGAACACCAAGCTAGTATCCCTATTTTCACTTTTTATCACAAAGTCTCAATAAGCAGTTTTAATTTCAGCAAACTTCTACCTCGAATATTAGAATTGTGAAGGTCAAGAATTGCACTGCTTGGTTTAAGTTCATGGTATAGGTTTCAACTATGGCACTAATGCCATTAGTACCCAACTATACTAAGAGATACTGTTCCTAAATCTAAAAGCTGGAAACCATTACAATTTTTAATTTAGTTAAAGACAGGTTTGCTGTTTACTTAGATATCTTAAAAATAATTTCTTCATCTGTGTCTTTTAACTAAAACTTCAAATAGCAATGTATTCTCTTATTTAAAAAGGAAAAAGTTTAAGCTGTATGAACATTACCTATGTCCCATTGGAAGGTCAAAGTGCCTTTGTCTTTAAGTCCATTTATGAAGTATCATGTGTGTTACACTAAGGTTTAATAGTCTTGGCAATAATGACTAAACTGGGGCAACCTGAAAGGGTCTAACATATCAGATAGCAGCCTTTCTTAAAGTCAAGAATCCCCACTCAGCAGACAGGCTGCCATCAGACCATGCTAAATCTCTCATGGTCCAACTAAAGACAGGCTGATCTCGAAAGCAATTAGTAACACTCTGTCTGCATTTAGGAGCCTTTAACAGTCTTCTCAATGTACTAGTTACCTACAACTTAACCTAATCCTTAACATTTTTCAGGATACTCATATGACTATAAAACTCAGACCATCATTCAGAAAAAATGAGAGAGATCAGGGATGGAGACTTGGTGTTTAGCTCCCCCCCCCCCCACCTGAGAAGTACACAGTCTTAAAAGGTTTGCTTATAGTAGTCAAAAAATAAATACATTGTTTCCATTTGAGAAATGACATACAGATTTTCTTCTAAAGCCATTCTTTGCCAACAATTCTATTCTTCCCTAAGGGTATGTGTGGAAGAAGGGTAGGGAAACAATCTGATTAACGTCTCCTTATTAAGGTTAAAATAGTCCATCAAAGTGACTATGTTTAAAAACATATGGCCTGAAAAGTATCTTAACATAATAAAGGCCATCTATGACAAACCCTTAGCCAACATTAGACTTAATGGTGAAAAACGAAAAAATTTTCAAGATCAAGAACAAGACGAGGCTGTCCACTATTGCCACTCTTATTCAAAATAACATTGGAGGTCCTAGCAAGGGCAACCAGACAACAGAAAGATAAAAAAGGCAACCAAAAAGGAAACGAATAAGTCAAACTGTCAGTATTTGCAGATGACATAATTCTCTATATAGAAAGCCCTAAAGACTCCACAAGAACACTACTAGAAACAATAAGCAAATACAGTAAAGTCTCTGGATACAAAATCAATGTTCAAAAATCCATAGCATTCCTATACTCTAACAATGAAGTGTCAGAAAAAATGGAAAAAATAATTCCTTTTGCAATTGCAACAAAAAAAAATAAAATACCTAGGAATAACTCTAATGAAACATGTTTTGAAAGACCCATATGATGAAAACTACAAGACCCTATTAAAAGAAATCGAAGAAAATACAAAGAAATGGAAAGATATTCCGTGTTCCTCGACTGGAAGAATCAACATAGTTAAGATGACCATATTACCTAAAACATTATACAGATTTAATGCAACCTCCATCAAAATCCAATCGGCATTTTTTAAAGAAATAGAACAAAAAATCATCAGATTTGTATGGAAGCACAAAAGACCCCGAATTGCAAAAGCCATCCTGAGAAAAAAGAATGAGGCTGGAGGCATCACTCTACCCGACTTCAAATTAGACTACAAAGCAACAGTAATCAAAACAGCATGGTATTGGCAGCAAAACAGACACATGGACCAGTGGAACAGAATCGAGAGTCCAGAAGTAAACCCATATTTATAT